TCCACCATTAACCTCCATGGGCTGCAGGGGGACAGCCTGCCTCACCATGGTCTTCACATTGGGCTGCAGGGGAGTCTCTGCTCCGGCGTCTGGAGCTCTTCCTCCCCCTCCTTCTTCACTGACCTTGGTGTCTGCAGAGTTCTCTCCAGTATTCCCCCACCTCACCTGGTAGGCTGGGGGTGGGCAAGATCTTGGGAGGGGACGTAGCCAGGACAGCTGACCCAAACTGACCAAAGAGATATTCCGTACCATATGATGTCTGCTCAGCAATAAAAGCTAAGAGAAAGGAGGAGGAGGGACAACATCTGTTATTACAACGTTTGCCTTCGGAGCAACCGTTCCATGTACTGAAGCCCTACTTCCCGGGAAGTGGCTGGACATCACCTGCTGATGGGAAGTAGAGAATAAATCTTTTTTTTTTCCCTTTGCTTCCACGCAAGGCCTTTGCTTTTGCTTTATTAAACTGCCTTTATCTTGACCCATGAGGTTTTTTTACCAATCTTATTTTCTCCCCCCCATCCTGCTGAGGAGGGGAGTGATAGAGCGGCTTGCTGGGCACCAGGCATCCAGCCAAGGTCAACCCACCACATCTGACTACATATCTCATGCTAGATTAGGTCAGGAGACTAATCCCACAGCATTTTGAAAGAAGCCCTTTGACATGGAAAAAGGCATGAGAAACTATTCATTTGTGTGCTAAGAGTAAAAAATAAATTCAGTGATACATTTTTGTTCACTTTTTTTACTAGTAGTTTCCTGCTAAGCATCTAGTTTACATGAGAGTTCCTGGATATTAAAGGTTCTAACAAGACTGCTAGGATTTTGAATTGTTTGGTAAGATAAGACAAATAAAATTGCAGTTTTAAAACCCTTAAATGCTCCGGTCAGATCTATGGCATAGACTATAATTGGCTCTGATGAGATCAGCTCTCAGCTAAAGCAGAACCTCGTTACTAAGATTGAAAAATCATGCAAGTTTTAATGATCAAAAGCACTCAGTTTGAGTGACACAGTGAAGTGCTATTTCAAAAATCAACAATTATAGATTAATCTCTTTCATGTATTATTAAGGCCATATTAAAGTGAGTTTTCAGCTGGAATCTTTGTGGGCAAATGAAACTGCAGTAGTAAGATTTGTTCATGCAATGCAGCAAATGAATATTGTGGTAGTTAACAAATACTGGGATGCAGTGTTGTTAAGTTTCCTGTAATCCTATAGTCAGCATCCGTGGTGCTTATCTGGTGGATCTAAAGGTGAGGTTTCAAGAACCTGACATCATCATTTCCCTAGAAAATGTTCTTAGGCATGATCACTGAGCTTAATTGATAGTGTGCTCATGATCACTTAAAAAACCGCGAACTAGAAACAGTGAACTAGTTCAGACCTATTTTCTGTCATTCTGGAAACTTTGGTCTCCAAATTATTTTAATTTCAGGAATCTCTGCCTATCCTGTAGCTGAACATCATAAAAGCAGAAACTTTTGTAGTTTCTACTTGGGGGGTGGGGGCAGGTTAGTGTCAGTGTGGGAGGCAGAGGTTTTCTCAGTCTGTTCAAGACAGCTTAGGAACACGTTCACATCCTGAACAGTCTAAAGGGTCTTGCGAGTTATTACCTAGTTTAAATGCTAGTAATTTTTTTTTCCTGGAATTTGTTTGCTCTCGTGAGGAATGAATTAATGAAGGCAATTCTTTTTTTCAAAATGATGAACTAGAGTCTCCTTTTCTTCTGATTGCTCTTGATTTTTTTTTAATGGAAATCAGATTTTGCTGCAGCACAGCATTTGAGCAGCCCTGAAACCATTTCTAAGCCTTTAATAATTTTATGTGCTAGGCATTCTGGCAGGGGAAAGCTTCCAGTTCAGGGTTGTTATCTGTGGTAAACTGGATAATGTCAGACAGGAGAACTTGCAGAGCTTTCAGAAGCTGTCTCATCTAATATTAAAAAATAAATATATATGCTCTGGCAGTGTCCAGAGTACTGCTGTCCTCATGAGGAAAGATTGTGGAAGAGAAGCTTCTTGTTTCCTCTTTGTTGAAAGGAGAATATTTTTTTTCTGACGGAGAGAGAGCATAAATTTTTTGGGTAGTGATAAGGACTTGCATAGAGCCATATAAGAAGGGGATAGCACTGACAAGAAATTATAAATGCTGTCCTCGGGACCTTGCTACATTTAGTACTTTCAAAAATTCCTGCTTCTGTGAGGCGGGGGGGGAAGTCTTGCTGAAATCCCTTCCCCAATATAAAGTAGGTCCCTGATAACGGTGTTGGCCGTCTCCTCTGCAGCGTGTTCTCTTCTGCACTACCACAGTGCGAATGCTGATTTCTCCTGTGTGCACATTAAATATATAGCATAGTACGATTCCTTTGCTTTGTTCGCAGAGTCCTTATTTCTGAGCAGGAATAGTGACAGGAG